TGCTTGAAAATGACAGGTAGAGGTTGCAGTGAGCCAAGATTGTGCCACTGCACTCCAGCCTGGGCCACAGAGTGAGACTCCATCTCGAAAACATCATCATCATCATCATCAACAACAACAACAACAAAAACACAAAATGTGAAGGTCTGCTACTGGACTTTCTATTCTTCCAGTTATCTAAATGTCTATTGTTGTGTCTTTATAACACTTCTTTGATTACCATAGCATTGTAGTAAGTTTTAGAATCAGGTAAATTCTTCAACTTTTTCTTTTTCAAAATTTCTTTACTTTTCTGGATTCTTTGCACTTTCATATAAACTTTTTTTGCCACATGAAAGTTATTAGCTTATTAAACTTCTCATGAAAAGGCCACACAGTGGCTGCAGATAATGTCATTGCAGCATCTTTTCTCCTTTGACTTTTCGCCAGCAACATCATTGTCCTTTGCTGTCCCCCTGACTTTCTTCGTTCTGTTCTGGTGTTCTTTCTTTTTTTATTTTTTTGAGATGAAGTCTTGCTCTGTTGCCCAGGCTGGAGTGCAGTGGCGTGATTTTGGCTCATTGCAACCTCCACCTCTGGTTCAAGCAATTCTCATGCCTCAGCCTCCTGAGTAGCTGGAATACAGGTGCACACCACCACACCTGGCTAATTTTTGTATTTTTAGTAGAGACGAGACAGGGTTTCACCATGTTGGTCAGGCTGGTCTCAAAATCCTGACCTCGTGATCCACCTGCCTTGGCCTCCCAAAGTGCTAGGATTACAGGCATGAGCCACCATGCCCAGCCTGTTCTGGTGTTCCCTTTGCTGCTTTCTTGAGATCTTTTCCTTCTCATCCAGGCCACGTCTTGTAAGTCTATGTTTGGCTTCATTTTTCTTTGCATAATCCAAGGAACCATAAATCATGTCAAAGCCACAAATCATGTCTTGCCACCACCAAAATGAGTTCCGAATCCAAATACATTCCTGCCAGCAATATATGAGTTTTTCCATATGCAGGTCAACACTAGTTCACTTCGTCAATTTTTTTTTTGTTTTAGCCATTCTAGTAACTGTGTAGTGGTATCTCTTTTTTTTTTTTTTTTTTTTTTCAGACACAGTGCCATGATCTTGGCTCACTGCAACCTCTGCCTCCTGGATTCAAGCGGTTCTCCTGCCTCAGCCTCTTGAGTAGCTGGGATTACAGGTGCCCGCCATTGCGCCTGGCTAATTTTTGTATTTTTAGTAGAGATGAGTCTTCACCATCTTGGCCAGGCTGGTCTCAAACCCCTGACCTCATGATCCACCCACCTCAGCCTACCAAAGTGTCATTTGGTTTTAATTTGCATTTTTCTGATGACTTATGATGTCAGCATCTTTTTTATTTTGAGACAGAGTCTCATTCTGTTACCCAGGCTGGAGTGCAGTTCTGTGATCTTGGCTCACTGCAACTTCTGCCTCCCAGGTTCAAGCGATTCCCATGCCTCAGCCTCCTAAGTAACTGACACCAGTGTGGTCTTGTACATTTTGGCTAGTTTTTCCCAAACTTCTGTGAAGGGTACTGATAACTTCCCAGGGTGAAGAACATTAATGACCATTTGTTATCTCAAGGAGTTGGCTGGTCATAAACTTCCTGGTTCAGATAGTTACTGTGTCATTCATGATCGTGATCAATCCTCAGGCAGCCATTTCCATATAAATTTTAGGAATAGCTTGTCAATTAAAAAAAAAAAAAGGCTGGACATGGTGGCCGATGCCTAAAATCTGAACACTTTTAGGGGGCCAAAGAAGGAGGATTTCGTGAGCCCCATAGTTTGAGACCAGCCTGGGCAATACAGTGAGACCTCTTTTCTTAAAAAAAAAATTTTTTTTAAATTAGCCAAGCATGGTGGTGCACACCTATAGTCTCAGCTACTTGGGGGCACTGAGGTGGGAGGATTGCTTGAGCCTGGTAGTTTAAGACCAGCCTGGGCAACATAGTAAGACCCCTTCTCAAAAAATATTTTTTTAAATTAGCCAGTCATGGTGGTGCACACCTATAGTCTGGGGTAGTTGGGGGCTGAGGTGGAAGGCTTGCTTGAGCCCAGGAGTTTGAGATCAGCCTGGGCAATATAGTGAGACTCCCTTCTCTAAAACAAACAAATTTTTTCAAATTAGCCAGGCATGGTGGTGCACAATGGTAGTCTCAGGTAGTTGGGGGGCTGAGGCAGGAGGATTGCTTGAGCCCAGGAATTTGAGGCTGTAGTGAGTCATGATCACACCACTGCACAGAGCAAGACTCTTACTCAAAAACTACAAAAATAGCCTACTGGAATTTTGACAGATTATTACATTGAATTTATTTTGTTTAGTTTTCTTTCTTTCTTTTCTTTCTTTCTCTTTCTTTCCTTCCTTCCTTCTTTCCTTTCTCTTTCTTTTTCTCTTTCTTTCTTTCTTTCCTTCCTTCCTTTCTTCCTCTTTCTCTCTCTCTCTCTTTCTTTCTTTTTCTTTCTCTCTTTCTTTCGAGTCTTGCTCTGTTACCCAGGCTGGAGTGCAGCAGCCTAATCATATAATATCTCACTGCTACTTCAAACTCCTGGGCTCAAGGGATTCTCCCACCTCAGCCGCTGGAGTAGCTAGGACTATAGGTACATGGAACTATACCCAGCTATTTTATTTATTTATTTATTTATTTATTGGTAGAGATGGGATCTCACCATGTTGCCCAAGCTGGCCTCAAGCAATCTCCAGCCTTGGCCTCCCAAAATATTGGGATTACGGGCCTGAGCCACCGCATCCAGCCTACACTGAATTTATATGTCAATACTGGGAAATTGTCATCTTAACAGTATTGACTCTTCCAACCCATGGACGTCATATCTCTCCCATTTTATAGAAGTCCTTTTAAATTTATCTTAGCAGAATTTGTACAAGTTTGCCCTTCTCTTGTCTAATTTGTTTCTAAGTATCTTATTATTTTGATGCACATTAAACATACTTAATAGTTATGGTACGTTTTTGTAGATTCTTTGCAATTTCTTACATACAAGATGAAAACATACAGTGTTGCTTGAGAATCACAGCAGCTTTTAAAGTCTTTGCTCACTGCACCTCAGTTAACACTCTCACTCCCTGCAGTACCCAAGACCATAGCTCAAAAATATCCAAGTGCTTCTCTTCTAAGGATAGAGCCAAGTGTCTTTAAATTTCTCCTAAAGATTGGAATGTGCCACCAACAGTAATGTTGATCTTCTACTATGGTAGTGTGCTACGTTCATCTCTAATACAAAGATAAACATGTCACAAGAACCATGTGTTCATGCACTGAAAAGAATCCTTTTCCCCTTTGCCTTTGTGACTTGTGTGTGTCTTCGCTTTAGTTATTGACCAACTGTCCTACAGATAGCTATACTCTTTCACATAAGCTTTCTGTCTGCAGTAATTTTGTCTTTGCTCTAATCTATTACTTATTTTTTCATTTTACTCTCAGAAGACATTCTAATTTTTAATATTCAAAAGCTATGTGTGCCCGTGTGTGTGTGCGTGCGCGCGTGCGTGTCTGTGCAGGGGTGGGGTGGGCATCTAGTGATTATACTCAGTTGTCATCCATTACTTGAGCCACACTATCCATCAATTAAACCCTTTACAATTCTTTTGCATATATCACTTTAGCCTCCAATTGATCTATCTGTGCAACTGGCTTTTGGACCTGTTTAGGACTTTATTTAGTTCTCTCACAATTACATCTAGACCACTGGGATATTTTTGGACCCTGATTCTGCCATTCAGCATATTAGTTATCCCCCAAAAATTCATGCTTTCTCATGTTTGAGCAGTAGATCATAGTCTTTAGCCAAGTAAATTTTGAATGAAAAGCTTATAGCAGAGACAGACCACTGTGGCGTGCCATTGGAGACCTCTCTGGTTGCTTTTGATCAGCAATTAGTACTCTTTAGGAATGATTGCTCTGCTAATTACATGTGAACTTACCTATGCTTTCTTTCTTCAACTGTAAAATGAGGATAATGATAGTATCCACCTCACAAGACTTGTAAGGATTAGATGACTAAGCATGTAATGAACTCACAGTAGTACCTACCACAGAGAAGTGCGCAAGAAAGTGAGTCATGTTGGGCATCGTGGCTCATGACTGTAATTCCAGCACTTTGGGAGGTCGAGGTGGGAAGATCGCTTGAGCTCAGGATCCAAGACCAGCCTGGACAACATAGGGAGACTTGGTTTCTGGAAAAAAAAAAAAAAAAAAAGGAAAGTGAGTCATTATTATTTGGGGAAGAAAAGACTCTACAGTCAATAGCTTGGCCTTTATCTTTGCTTTTTAATCTCCTACCTGTGTGCATCCTTAGACAGTTATTTAACTCTTGTCAGTTTCTTCATCTTAAAGTAATTGTAAAAACAATGCCTTATTCATAAATTTTCTTGTGAGGATTAAATAAAATAATGCAGATAGAGTAACACCATGCATAACACTCAATCGGTATTTGTTGCAGTGATAATTACTGACATTCAAGTTGACACATATTTATCTCCCCTCCACTGCGAGCCTCCTGTCAAATTATTTCCAAAAGCTTGAGGATATTCAGATACATTACATTTATAGCATTTCCCTGATCAACCTACTTGATAACTTAGTAGTCAGTTTAGAGTATTAGGGCTAATTTATCTTTTAAAATTCTTCTAAAATTATAAAATGCAAGCAAAATTATAATTTAAATGTTTAATATATATATTATGGCTAGAATGTTAATTTTGGGTTCATTTTATGAGACTCTACACTTGTATGTTGTATATGCTATATGTAGCATTTATAAGAGTACACTGGGGACCAGCTCTTGAAAAATTGGGTTCATTTTATAGGCTGTGAGGCACAATTTGGCTATTCAAAATTATTAAGGCATATGTTTGTTTTTATCACTGCTTCTTCCTTTGATTTATTTGGTGCTGAGAATGTAGCTCAGGAATACAACCACCAATGACAAAGCTGTTTCTATCAGAAAACAGTCTGCCCCTCGATGATCAATTGTGATATGGAATCTAGGACTCACTGTGGTGGAAGCAGATGGTACTTGCCAAATCACAACACTCTTTCTGTGTTAGAAAAAGACATCCCAAATCTTAAAGGTAGGATTTCCACAACATAAACAATTCAGAAGGTAATGCCTTATAGCAACCAAGAATTTAAGATTTGATTATTTTGGTGTAGTTTTTTTTTTTTTTTTCAAAGTACTGTCGAATTTTCTAAAAGCATCTATTTGTGTGGGTAATTCAAAATGTTGCAAGTCGGTTCTTTCCTCTTTCAGCCACGCTCGTGAGCAGGACTCGTCGCCAAGGGCCGTGTGATCCGTGGACAGAGGAAGGGCGCCGGGTCTGTGTTCTGCGGGCACGTGAAGCACGGTAAGGGCGCCACGTGCCTGCGCGCCGTGGATTTCGCCGAGCCGCACGGCTACATCAAGCGCATCGTGAAGGACTTCTTCCACGACCTGGGCCGCGGCGCGCCCCTCGCCAAGGCGGTCTTCCGGAATCCCTACCGGTTTAAGAAGCGGGCGGAGCTGTTCATTGCCGCCGAGAGCATTCACACGGGCCAGTTTGTGTATTGCGGCAAGAAGGCCCCGCTCAACACTGGCAATGCACTCCCTATGGGCACCATGCCTGAGGGTACGATTGTGTGCTGCCTGGAGGAGAAGCCTGGAGACCGTGGGAAGCTGGCCCAGGCATCAAGGAACTATGCCACCGTTTTCTCCCACAACCCTGAGACCAAGAAGCTGTCCTCTGGCTCCAAGAAGGTTATCTCCTCAGCCAACAGAGCTGTGGTTGGTGTGGTGGCTGGAGGTGGCCGAACTGACAAACCCATCTTGAAGTGTGGCCGGGCCTACTACAAATATAATACAAAGAGGAACTGCTGGCCACAGGTACGGGGTGTGGCCACGAACCCTGTGGAGCATCCATTTGAAGGTGGCAACCATCATCACATTGGTACGCCCTTCACCATCCACAGAGATGCCCCAGCTGGCCGCAAAGTGGGTCTCATAGCTGCCGGTGGGACTGGACGTCTCGAGGGAACCAAGACTGTGCAGGAGAAAGAGAACTAGTGATGAGGGTCTCAATAAAGTTTGTTTTTATGTCAAAAAAAAAAAAAGTTGCAAGTCAAATACACTTGCATTTTATTTTCTGTCCTATGCACTGTTAAAGAGAATTGGGGCACGTTACCTATCCGTTTTAGTTCCTTTTTTCCCTGAAGTGCAGATAAAAATCACAAAAGATTAGATGGTAAATATAAAAGCACAGAACACAGTACCTGGCACGTGGTAGGTGCTAAATGACTGTTTCCTTCCTTTTTCATTGTCATTGATGGTCCATTACAAAATATATACCAAAGGAAAAGATGCCAAAAGCCTGGTGGATTTGGGTACTTCTATGTCGAAGATACCATTTATGCCCCTTTTATAAGCGATTCAGAAAATTAACATGTGCCTCAACTTCCACCTTACTGTGAATTCCTGAAAGGTGGCAACAAATCCTTTTAGAGTATCTTAGAACTGAGAAAATCCGACTGTGATGCTACAGAATATTGGCTCCTCTGTTGTGTTCTCGGTTCTCTTCTCAACAGTTGCTTGCTGTGGCTTCTCAGGTTACAGGTACAATGAGTGGACTAAGGCTTTAATGTATGGGTAGAGGCTTATTATTATTATTATTGGCTTTAATATGACTATGGCTTATGCCTTATTATTTCTGGACTTCAGTCATCACTGTCATTATCAGATCTGCTGATCATCAGTCATTTCAGGGCCAAAAACAACAAAAGCACCAGAAACTGAAATACTGAGGACAATATAATCAACTCTGTTATTCAGGGACTTATTATTTCAAATCTCCATATGAGATTTTGTTAGAATTTCCCAACTGATGTGCATTTGAGTGTAACTTTGTTGTGTGAGTAGCAAAATGCTTTGCAAAGCAAGATAATAAAAAAGATTGCCAGAGGAATGTTCAACCCGCTAAAGAAAACAGTAGGCTGAGAACACTGAGAACCCATAGAGGTTTCCATTTACTTAAAGAATTAGAAGTGCTGGCCAAGCACGGTCGCTCATGCCTGTAATCCCAGCACTTTGGGAGCCTGAGGTGGGTGGATCATGAGGTCAGGAGTTCGAGACCAGCCTGGGCAACATGGTGAAACCCCATCTCTACTAAAAATACAAAAATTAGTGGGGCATGTTGACACATGCCCGTAGTCCCAGCTACTTGGGAGGCTGAGGCCGGAGAATCCCTTGAACCCAAGAGGTGGAGGTTGTGATGAGCCAAGATCACCCCACTGCAACAGAGTAAGACTCCATCTCAATAATAATAATAGCAATTATAAGAATTAGAAGTGGCCTTGGCCGGGCACGGTGGCTCAAGCCTGTAATCTCAGCACTTTGGGAGGCTGAGGCGGGTGGATCACGAGGTCGAGAGATCGAGACCATCCTGGTCAACATGGTGAAACCCCGTCTCTACTAAAAATACAAAAAAATAGCTGGGCATGGTGGCGCGTGCCTGTAATCCCAGCTACTCAGGAGGCTGAGGCAGGAGAATTGCTTGAACCCAGGAGGCGGAGGTTGCGGTGAGCCAAGATTGCGCCATTGCACTCCAGCCTGGGTAACAAGAGTGAAACTCTGTCTCAAAAAAAAAAAAAAAAAAAAAAAAAAGAATTAGAAGCATGCATGTCAACACTAAGATACCATAATATATTTTGCTAATCTATTTTCTTCTCTGTCTCCCTCATTAGACTTGGCTTTGTTGAGAATAGGAACAATGGCCCTGTAAGAGTAGGCTTTTGTACATGTTAGCTAAATCAGTAGGTCCTTCAGTGCTCCGTGGATGGCTTAGGTGTTAATCATATTCATGAGTCTTTTACCAAACACACACACACACACACACACACACACACACGCATGCAGGTACAAAATTCAGTAGGATCTACTGAGCTGGAGTTAGGAGTGCAAGATGTTTGTTGGGGATAGTTATTCCTATAAAAAATCAAAGAGGGGAAGAAGCAGGATTGTGTAGGAAGAGCCTCAGACCATGAAATGGATCTGAGAATGTCTTGGATGACCCTCTGGAGAGCTCTGGAACAAAGATTACTCATTAGAAAAGCCCCACATTAGGCAAAAACAGCCAGACCCTAGTATCCCTACCATGTTTAGTCATTGGCTGCAGGATGCCCAAGAAAAGCATGACCTCAACTCAAAAGCCGAGACAGATCCTGAAGACGCTGTAACAAATGGAGGCTATTGGCTAACTGCAGAGCTTGCAACTGAGCAGCAACTTCGTTCTTAAAGGAAGATCTGAGTGATGCACCTTTGTAGTTGCCACAGCTCCCAAGATAATGAGTCTTCCTCATTACACAAATTTAGATATGAGGTGATTGACTCTGACTGCCCCTTCCAAAAACATCTGCCCACCTCTCCTCAGAGGAAGCATGAACAGAAAGTCTGGGTGTCCCCCGAGAGTCCCCAGGGTCTGGAAACTTGGTTGACAATATGAGACTCAGTCAATTGGAAGATTCTGTGAATTGCTACTGTTCAAACCCAGCCAGGGCCAGATGTGGTGGCTCACGCCTGTAATCCCAGCACTTTGGGAGACCGAGGCAGGAGGATTGCTTGAGCCTGAGAGTTCAAGACCAGTCTGTGCAACATAGTGAGACCTCTACAAATAATTTTTAAAATTAACCAGACATGATGATACGCACCTGTGGCCCCAGCTACTTGGGAGGCTGAGGTGGGTGGATTGCTTTAGCGTGGGTGGTCAAGGCTGCAGTGAGCCATGATTGTACCACTGCACTCCAGCCTGGGTGACAGAGCGAGACCTCATCTGAAAGGAGAGGAGAAGGGAAGGGACAGGAGGGGAGGGGAGGGGAGAGGAGGGGAGAGGAGAGGAGACCCAGCCGGCCACATTTCCCAGAATTGTCTTCATGAGTATTTAAAGTAGAGGGGACAATCACTAATAGGAAGTGCTAAACCACAGCCAGGGGCAGATATGGATGGCACCTACTGACTCCCTTCTGAGTCTTCCCCAGCCAACTGCTCAGGTTTTTCCTGGTTGTTTCAGTCATCTCACAATATCAAGGCCCCACATTTCTCTTTTTTTCTTTGAGACATGGTCTCTGTCACCCAGACTGGAGTGCAGTGGCACAGTCATGGCTCCCATCTCAGCCTCCCAAGTAGCTAGGACTACAGATGCGTACCACCACACCCAGCTAATTTTTGTATATTTTGTAGAGACAGCGTGTCACCATGTTGCACAGGCTGGTCTTGAATTCCTGGACTCAAGTTATCTGCCCACCTCAAACTCCCAAAATGCTGAGATTACAGGCGTTATCCACCGTGCCTGGCTTCGCTTCTCTTCCGTTCCCTTCCCTCCTCTCCTCTCCCCTCCCTTCCCTTTCCCCTTTCCTTTCCTTTTTTTTTTTTTTTTTTTTTTTTTTTTTTTTTTTTTTTTTTTTTTGAGACAGGGTCTCACTCTGTCACCCAGGCTGTAGTGCAGTTGTGCAAACTAAGCTCACTGCAACCTCTGCCTCCCAGGTTCAAGCAATTCTTGTGCCTCAGCCTCCCGAGTAGATGGGACTACAGGTGCATGCCACTACGCCCAGCTAATTTTTTTTGTTTTTTGGTAGAGGTGGGGTTTCATCATGTTGATTGGGCTGGTCTTGAACTCCTGACCTCAAGTAATCTGCCCGTCTTGGCCTCCCAGAGTGCTGGGATTACAGGCGCAAGCTCCCATGCCCTGGCCTTTATTTTCAATTATACAAGTCAAACATTCTCTTCATAGAAAATTTAGACAGTACAACTTATTCTGCAGAATAAAATAAGTCACACATAATATCAAATCCCAGAAACAATTATTCCCAATTTTGTTTTCCAGTTACATTCATAACAAAATATGCCCCTCCTCTCTCCACTGATCTAACATCATATACGTTTTCCACAGACAGACCATTCTTGCAGCCTGCCTGGACTGAGAAGCTGGCAGTGCCAGGGTTAGACAGCGGAGTACTGAAGGAAGGAAAGTGGATGGAGGATATAGAGTAATCACTGTCCAGAGTTCTTTTTGGATTGGATACTCTCTGAGGGTAGATCTGAGCATCCTGGGGCCTCATCAGGAAGTGACCTCTGTCCTCTTTTTGGGCTGGAGTCAGGCAGAGCGTGTAGATGTTCTTGGGTATGGGAAAACATAGGGTTAAGGCAAATCCACTTCCTGTACCCATCCATGTGTATGACCACCACCCAAGCCACTATGCAGAATTGCAGACAGACTCGTTTAGCTGACGCTTACTAAGTCCTTATTATGTAATGGAATATTTTTTCTTGCCCTCAAGAAGTTTAAAGTCTAGTGAGAGAGACAGGAAAACTTACCTTTAAAATAAATCATGCTGGGGCCAGGTGTGATGGTGTATGACTGTAATCCTAAGACTTTAGGAGGCCAAGACAGGCAGATCACTTGAGTTCAGGAGTTCAAGACCAGTCTGGGCAACACAGTGAAACTCTGTCTCTATTTTTAAAAATAATTTAAAAAGATTAAAATACATCACGCTTTGGATGTGGCGGCTTACATCTGTAATTCCAGCACTTTGGGAGGCCAGGGCGGGAGGATCACTTGATTCCAGGAGCTCGAGACTAGCCTGGGCAACATGGTGAGACCTCCATCTCTTAAAAAAAAAAAAAAAAATTAGCCAGGTATGGTGACCAGTACCTATGGTCCCACCTACCTGGAGAGGACGAGTTGGGAGGATTGCTTGAGTCCAGTAGGTCGAGGCTGTAGTGAGCTATGATTGTGCCACTGCACTCCAGCCTGGGTGACAGAATGATACCCTGTCTCAAAAATTTTTTTTAATTAAAAAATAAAATCAAATACATCATGCTATTTGCTAAATAGCAAGATGTATATGACTACTATGAGAGAGAGGAGGAAGTAAACACTGTAACATGTAAGTCAGAATATGATGAATAAATTAGTATTCAAGGGAAAAGGGCATGCAAGAATGACAGAAAAGCTAAGACACAAGAGAGTGAGAGATAGGCTTGGGGATGAGAATGAGGCTCAGTGAAACCAAAAA